AGGACAAGAGTCTGAGAGTCGATCTCGATTCTGTAATTCAAGTTTCAACAAAAGGCGAGTGTTGATCGCCTTCAACCATAAATTGAGTGCGAAATTGCGATATTGCGTGATTCTACTTGCCACTCGACTGAGGTTCTTGGTACCCTACTCCCGGAACTCGCTTTATATTTTGCTCAACTATAACGATTAACTTTAATAACGTTAACTTCTTGAGGTTACATTTACTTCCGGTTTAATTAGCCGCTTTCAACTTCGCTTTAAAAAAGATTGCCAGCTAACAACCTCATTTCCATTTATTTCCACATTTAAAGCTCTACATTACTTACACGGCAAGAACTTATATGAAGTGGTATACATTATTTTAACTTAAAGAGCCTAAAACTAAGCAATGAACTGTAAACACGATTTATTAATGGGCATGCTGCGAAGAGTTTGATGTGAATACTCGTACTTAATCGTATAATTTTCAATCATTTTTTGCTTAGTAGCTCAAGGGAACTGCTCACGAGTGCATTTATATTTTTTTTATTAATTAATACAAATTGAAACATAAATAAATTAATTGATTCACATTTAAAAAAAAAACAAGCATAAAATGTATAAAATAAAAATCTAAAGGAAATTTATGAATTTGTCGTGCTTAGTATGCTGTCCCACAAATGTCCAGCAAGTCAGTGGAAACGTTTAGTTGAAGCTGCAGCCAGCACCATGCCAATGGAAGCAGTTATTCCATGGCCAGCATCAAGGGCCACTTAAAACGGGCTTTAAAGCTATGGCCATGGGATTGGCAGGATTTTAAAGGATTTGCCCTGACATTGCAATGATTTTCAATGGCAACAGTTGTGGCAACATGTAATGGTCGCTGCCTGCTGCCACACACACTTCCACACTTCCAGCCAGCTGCAGCATCGCCCGTTGGCCGGCAACAACTGCAATTTGGCAACAGGAACAGCAGCAGCAGCAGAAGTCTGTCTGTCTGGCTATATTGCTAGGGGGAGGGGAGGGCAAAAGGAGCAAGGCCGTCAGCATGTTAAATGAACTGCTTGAGCACTTGCCTGAGGGAGCTTGTAAATAGTTTGGCACTTGAAAATAAATTACACACGCCATATCTGTAAATCGCTTTACAATCCATACGAAATAAGGCACTCGAATTGAATATGTCGTTCGGTCGAGTAGAGATTGTGTTTGGTTAGGCCCCCCCCCCCCGACCAGTGGCTGGCAAACTTTTTCCAGCGTCCCCCCGCCAAATAGTTTATTTATGCTGAACAGGACTGCTGCCAGGGAGCGGCCGGCGGGACTGTGACAGCTGTAAGTGTGGCGCGGTATGGCATGGCATGGGAATCTTTACAAATTGGCAATGGCCAAAGTTTGGCAGGCATCTATCGATAAAAGTTGGGAAGCACCAGGCTCCGATTCGTGCTCCCCCGGCGCTTAATTTGAAAGTCAAGTAACGGGTTTCGTCTTTGCATTCGGCGTCGGCTGCCACCATTTGATTGCAACACTTGTGACCTCGACTCGACTCGACTCGCCTCGCCAATATTTGGCAACTTTCAATTGGATTTCCTCCCCGCTTCTAGGTATATTAATTGGATGACTTTCGACCCTTAAACATTGACCAAATTAGACCTTGGGATAGTTGAGGGAGTTTTTTATTAAAGAAGTTGGGATTCATTTTAGTATTGGACAACATATGGGGGGTTAGTATTGCATATATATTTAAAACTGTTGCCCTGCTTGCTTTTCTTATTTTATTTTATTTCTTAGACATTGTGATTGTGGATATAAAAAATGTGTAACATTTAAATAGTTCAGAAAATATTTCGAAGCAAAATTTAGAATATGTAGCACTCTTGTTTTTCCGTGGAAAATCCTAACAGTTGCCTATTTACTGGTTTGGTTTATTGGTTCCAATAATTTCCAAGGGTTCCCTAATGAGCACTGATCATGATTTTATTTTATTAAACAATAATGGAAAGTAATGTGATGATTTGTGCGCGATTAAATGTTTTCTTAATATGGCCAATGATCTGATTAAATCGAAATTTACTAAATGCACCACAAATCTGTGCCAAGACTATGGCAGCCTATCGAACTCCAAATATTAACTGTAGCCATAGGGGGAAAGCTATTTTATTTTATAAAACATACAATATAAAATACATACTTATAATACATACATACATAAATATGAGTATTGTAGAGATTGAATTTTCTAAATTTTAAAATAAAATATATTCTGCCAGAAATGGTTTTGGGGACCATTAACGCTACACTGCTGCATTTTGTGCACACAGCTAATAATGAAATTACAAAAACAATGAAAGTTATAGTTTTATAGCGTTGGAGTGTGGGGCGGGGGGGAACATATTTCCTGATGAAATCGCAAAGTTTGAAAGCCGAGCACGTATCGACAGTCAGGAAGCGGCCACGATACGGATCCGGCCATGGACATGTGCCAAAATGAACAACCCACACACACACACAGGCACAGGCACATGGACAAACCGGGCACGTAATTGGCTATTAACAGCGACCGCTTCACAAAGGACAAACACACACTTTTGTTGTTGTGTGTGTGGGGGTGTGGGGGTGTGATGGTGTGTTATGCGTAGATATGGTTATTGTTAGCTAAAATGCAGAAATTGAATTAAAAAGTGCGAAAAATTGAGTGTGAACTTGCTGAAAAAGTGTTAAAATAATGAGCAGCTATGAGCAGCTACCCCCGCAACCCCTCACCGCACACACCGCCGGACTAAGCATAAATGTAAAATTAATTGTATTTGCATTTTGAACATATGTTTTAATGGCTTTCCACGTGCCGACGAGCGACGCTGATTTAATTGTGGCAAAGCGACTGGACGGACTGGAAAGGAGGCAGGCGGCACGGACTCCGAGCACGATATAAAAATAATCCCAATAAAATGCATTTTTCATGTCAAATGCCTGAGCTGGCGGAATAACCTGAATGCACGCACAGGACTTTACGGAATTGCATGCAAACAAACCACTGCAGTGCACTGGCTGGCAGCTGGTGCTGGCCTCCGGCCACTGGCTGCCCCTGGCCCCCGGCCCACGCACATGACTGCAGTCCGAAAATGTGACGACTGTGGACTGTGTGGAGAGTGCAGTGAGGCAGCAGCCGCAGCACAAAGACGTGGTGGCAGCACTCTGGCATTATGTAATAAGCAAAACAAAATAACATTTTCATTGCAACTAATCAAATAGTCGAGAGGAGAACAAAGCCAAAGCCATTTGGCAACCAAACCTCAAGCCACAAACAGAGAGTGCAGAAGTCCATCAACAGCGGAAGGGGGGGAGAGAGTACAAATCAGCTAACAACTGAATCATTTGACTAAACAAGTATACCGCTGACGAATGGCGCGCACAGCTGGCACAGCCCTGGCATCTTTGACTTTGAGAGTGCAGCCGGACTAAGGACATTTTCCTTGGCCGCAAATTCAATTTATTGCAGTCTTAAAGAGCCAGGCTACAGCGACGGGAATAATGGCATAAAGCAATAAAGCAGTAAAAAGGATTATCTTCTCTGCTCTCGCTCTCTGGGGCAGCAACAGTTCTTCTCCCCGGTCCCCAGCCAAGTTACTGCCACAAGCACAGAGCAAAAGTCAGCCAAAGTTGCACTGTGCCCGCTGATAGCGAGCGAAAAAAAAAAATAACTTTTGTAACTATCAACAACTAAAAAGGAGAAGAAAAGCTGTGGGGAACACAAAAATGCAATACTTAAATGCTGGCAAAGTTCGCTGCTGCAGCCTTATGCCTGACATTACTTATACAAATTGCTGCACGCCCCCTCAAGTGGTTCAATTAATTGGAGCTCAGGCAACGGCATAATGACAGCCCAATGCAGACTTTCAATACACGACGATGCAGGGCTCTCAATAATAATATCCAGCCCTGCCACAGTACACTTTTCCGGCTCTATATTTACTTTGCATGCATTATGCAGAACGCCTACATCGATGCCACAACAAAAGCAACGAGGCAGCGAGTGTGTCTCAGCGGGGAATTAGCGATGAGTGCGTGATCACGCCAAGACACTCGAAAGTGGTCGATTAATGCCACTCAGATAAGTGACTTTAAAGGAGGAACCAGTGCTCATTTTCGTGCATCAAACTGGGCCCAAATTGCGTAGAAATCTGATGAATTTTGGAATTAAATCAGCTCCAAATTATTATAAGTTTAACTCTCTAATATATTCACTTCCAAAATAAGGGAATTCCTCAATTGAGATCAATCGATTATGCCTATAAATTCACTCCTAAGGAAACAGCCAAAACCAAATGCAGTGACCGTGAAATTCGCTATTTTCTCATAGACGCGTTATATCATTTCCCATGCCAAAGGGCCTCATCACTGTTCATCCAAATAGCTGTGCATGTACGTACCTTCTTGTGTGTTAGTTTTTGTGCGAGTCTGTGTTTGTGTCTGCCAGTCTGCCCGTCTGCCTGCCTGCCCCGAACTCTCAATCTCGAACGCGCACAAATGTAGGCAACAAAAAAAAAAACCGGCGGCGGCTTCGTTGTTTGCTGCCATTGTTGCCGTCTGCCTGCTTTCAACTTGACGCCAACGCACTTAGGCACTATCCCACAAACACACACAAACACACAGAGGCACACACATACGCATACACGCATACAAATGCATCATATCTTGACTCATTAACAGCCCCACAGAGTCCCGCGCGACTCGTCTCCCAACGCAGCGTTGTAAAAAGCGTTCCAGAACAGAGATTACTTTGCCTGATACGCCGAGTACTCTGCTGGGCCTCAGTGTTCGCTGCTCGCTGCTGGCTGCTGGCTGCTCGCAGTGCTCAATGCTCAGTTCAGTAGGTGACACCAATGCGCGAAGGTGTTGCCGCTGCCGTTGCCGTTGCTATTGCTGCCACACACACATCGTCTGGTCTGGCCTATATAGGCGCTCCCGGTTGCCCCTGCCCATGCATACTCGATGCAGTGCAGCAGACTGCGTGCACTTGACGCTATTGCTCCACATTTCTTCCGGCCATGAGAGTGTGCTGCAGCCATACCCATAGCCATACCCATTTCTTTTTTTTTACCAGGTACATGAGCAGTGAAAGGGTATATTGTATCGGCAGCACACAAAACCCTTTGAATTCAGCAGGCAGGACACAGTCTGTGTACCGGGTATCCTTTAGTCGCGCCATATTTGACTATAGTTTTTTCTGTCCCCTACCCCCCAACGACACTTTGGTGGTGTGCCATTAGTGTCGCGGTGCGTTGCCATAAAAAAAAAAGTACGAGCCAAGTAAGTTAAAACAATTCGCACGCTGCGTGCCGCGAGCGGTGCGTTTTCCTTTTGATATGCTGGATGCTGGATATGCTGGGGGTGGTGTCCCTCCCTGTTAAGTTTTGCCATCCACCGAACTTTTGCGGACAAATCCGCGAGCTGAAAATGTTCTTTTCTTACACGTAATTATGCAAAAGTTAAAAGCAACCATCATCGACTTCTTCTCCAGTGCCAGTCTCAGTCCCACTCCCACTCTCTTTTCCCATGTTCGCTGACGTCTCGCCAGGCAGTCAGCCGAGCGGAAAATCAGTCAGCACTTGAGCTGTCGTTGTCGCGTTAAATTATGCAAAAAGGCAACGCAACGCAACATGCGACATGCGACGAGAAGCAGCACAAAATGAAGGAAGAGTTCATTAAAAAAACGCTGCGCTCGCATTGGTCACTCCAGCGAGTGTTTACTGTTGTGTGTGTGTGTGTGTGTATCCCAACGCTACAGGCGCCATAATTGCGGCTAAGAACTGGGCTCGGAGCCTCCTCTTGCATACGGAAAGCGGCTCAAAATGTTTGTTTGCCACTTGATGCCAATTGGTTGGAAATTGCGTAAACACGTCAAGTGGGTGTGGTCTGGTCTGGTCTGCCCTGGCCTGGCCTGTGGGCCCTCTGGCCAGCTATGTAAGCATTTAATTGCAAGTGACTTCAAGTGCTGGTCGATCTGATGGGCAGGAAATAATGAGCCGTTTGTGTGTGTTTACATCAGCACAATCAGAGGGGATTAGCAGGATTGCTGGTTAATTTGCTGGAATTTATATTTCATGCGGCTATGCGAATTGCGTGTCGAGTTGAGGGATTTGTAATTGAAATTGTAATGGCAACCATTAAAGCTAACCTACAGCTGGCAGAGCTCTCTCCTCAGCAAGTGAAACTTCAACTTAAGTGGCAAATTTTTAAATCTGTTTATGGTGCATTGAATGCTGCAGTTTTAAGGCGAAACTATCTATCATATGGCTGTCTGGCTGGCTGGCTGCCTGGCTGTCAGCGGGAAGGCCTCTAATGGGGGGTGAATCGGTGGTGGTGCTGATGGTGGTGGCTATTGTCGCCTCGTTATTTGTGTTTGGGGGCAATTGGCTGGCACTTTAAGCGACAAGCCGGCACTTAATTACATGTGTAGTCCTCCGTTCGTGGCATGTCCTTTGCTGTCAATTATGGTGTGTCCGACATGTGTACTGCATCTGCAACAGGCTCCATGCAGGAGTGCATGGAGTAGGGGGCCAGTGGCCAGTGGGCTAGTGGGTTCCGGGCATGAGTATCAATCACAGCGAACATGTTAAAATAATTTCATTTCACAACAGAAATTAAATGCATTCGCGTGCCGGGCCCATTTACATGACACGACTATTAAATTAAAAAACATGAATGGACATGGACATGGACGTGGATGTGGACGTGTACGTGGGACATAATGGACATGGGATATTGACGGACTGGGATACGGATACTGTTCATCGTTTAGTCAGTTCGAACAGCAGCGTTAGCCATTAAAATGGTTTATTGACATGGCAGCAATCGCTCAATGTTTGCTTTTAATTTCAGCAATTGCCTGCCCCATCCCCCTGCTCATCCCCCCTGCCCACTGTCATAATTTGTCAATTGCAAGCTAATTGTTTTCCTTTTATTCTCATCCACAGCGTCACGTTTGCCGCAATCAACATGATGGCCACGTCACAGGATTACTTCAATCCATACGCCCTGTTCCGCGGCCCACCCACCACTCTGCGGCCGCGCGAATCTCCGCTAGGCGTTGGACATGCCCATGCCCACAGCCACAGCCATATCCATGGACATGCTCATGCTCACGGCCATAGCCATGCACACGGCCATGGCCATGGCCATGCCCACAGCGGACATGGCTATGCGGCACTCGATTTGCAGACGCCGCACAAGCGCAACATCGAGACAGATGTGCGGGCACCGCCGCCGCCATTGCCGCCGCCACCGCTGCCGCCCACATCGCCGAGGTAAGCCTCCCCACCCCCTCCAGCCAAGGGGATTAAGCGGAGAGAGGGGCGCGAGACGAGCAATGAGACATGAAGTGAAAAAACCCCCAACCCCAAATGCATATCATCCGCAACACATCAAATGAAGACCCCCCCCCTATCCACCCCACCCCACCAGCACTTCTCTGCTATGTCTTCAATCAACCAATCAACCAATCAATCAATCAACCAACACAGCAAATTTCGTTTCTTACACTGCAATTAAAGATTAAATATTCAAGTTTTGAATGCCCCTTAAATAATTACGCCCAAGATCAAACATCAAAAAAACCTAAAGTAAAAATGCTAGAGTAAAAATGTAGAAAGTCATTTAAATATCGGATATGTAACCGCTTTTTGTTTGCCAAAAACCAATTTGCCAATGGACTTTGAACCCATCAAATCAGATAAAATAAAAGCCAAGCTAAAGTAAACCCATCTAGAGCTAAAAAGAGAGAAGCGCGCGAGAAGGTTCGCTGAGTAAAAGTGTTTGCTACGCCACAAGAATGCAATGTAAAACCCTAGATGATAATTTTCTCCTCCTTCAATAAGTAGATGCAATTTATCCGACTACTAAACTGTAAGAGTTGACACCAAGACAAAGGTACAGATTAAACAAACTAATGGAAGTAATATAAGGAATAAGGAAAAATATAAGTAAATAACTATTGCAGAGCATTTCAACAGAGCACTTGTACCGTTCTAGAATTAGTTGAGTAAGTGAAGTAAACAGACGTATACGTAATCCAAGCAAAACAATACGATTAGAGTAAGTAAATAAATATTATATATTAGAGTTTGCAGTCAGTTTAATCAGCTTTGTTCGGCTACAGATATACAAGCATACATGCAGCATATTTACAAAGTTATATACTTAGAATATACCCTACTATATATACACACATAATTAATATACAGTATTATATAGCCAAGCCATAGCCAAGGAGTGGTATACCATAGAAAAGCATAGCATAGCATAAAGAAATATATAAATACTTAGTAGATACAGACAGCTAACTGAACGGGTCCACAGGATGCCCATTAATAAATACGCGTAGGCACATTAATCACTTGCAAAATATATAATCAACCTTCAAAGAATAATCCAATTAACTTTAATCGATTTAATCTCAACGCAAAGTATACGTAAAACGCAATCAAAGATTTTCCTAATAATCGTTCTTAACACACACACACACACTTACGAAGCAATACGGTAAACAATAACTAACAGAATTAGAATTATAATTAAGTCAGAGAAAAAATGAATATATATTCCTATATTAAATACTGCATACTAGATACCATACATACTAAGCCTAACAACTACTAGTAGCACTAAGCCCTAAGGCATAGACCGAGCACCGAGGCGAGAGGCGCCAATGTAAAATGCAAAAATTTAACTACCAAGAGTACAAAGTATGAAGGAGTCCCCCTCAATGTGGAAGTTGAACAATTGGCCAGCCCAAGAAACTCTACCCCGTAGTATCCCCCCCAATATGAAATATAGTTGTAAGCAATTGTAAAGCAAACACTTTTCCAAGTGACTTCAACATAAATCTAAACAGCGACAAGTCAGAGCCAAACTGTGAATGTTCGAAGGAAGTGTGGAGGCGGAGCAACCCCCCCAGCCGGAGCAACCAACAAACAATCATCAATCAACACACAACACCCGGCGGAGCTGCTCTTCAATCAACACTCAAACCGAACTGGGGCAACACCCCCCATCAACGTATATATTTTATTTAGTATTCAAATCAAACCATAAACGATGGCTAGTAGTAGCTGTCATCAGTCTCTCTCTCACTATCTCTCTCTCTATTTGTCTGTTGTAAACCTTAACGAAAAACCAAAAACCAAAACAACAATCAACATGCACCCCACACACCCATCCAGCCAAGGCGGTAAGTGCGAAGCCATATTTAAATGTATAAATATAAGCCCCTAACTAGCACCTAGCCACTGACTAGACCCAGTAGTGATCCAGTGATAGCCGTAGAACAGCTTAGCTAGAACTCAACAATGGACACTGGATCGATGGCTGATGACAATGACAATGATGGATGATGATCGTGCAACTGCAACTGCTACTGCTCTGATGCATGTGATGAACCGAACGTAGCGGAGTGGCTTTAGGCCTACGAACTACTCCACTTAGCTGCATTGTGCGCATGCCAATCATACCAAAACAAAAACAAAACAATAACAATAATAAACGCCAAAAATAGAGCCTTAACAAAACAATAAACTAAAACCTAACTTAACTCTAAGCTAGGGCCCAGCAACATGCAACGAAATTCGAGTAGCTCACATGCAACGATAGGAGGGCCTGCAACTAACAGTTACCCATGCAATTTAAGCAAGCAAAGATTAAGTCATTCTATCGCCCCAGTCCCTGTCTAATAACTGACCCATTGCGTTATGAAATTGATCCTCAAGCAGTGCTATACCCCCCCGCCACGAGGCGATAATCAAATCTAGCGGAAATGTTCCAACAACCGTCTTTAACGCGCTGCCCACTGCTGACCAACGCTGACCAATGGCGAACAGGCATGCGATAATGCCATTAATTCGATACCCTAACTAACCATGGGGCTAATTTTTGGACACACTTGCATGAAAATTATTCCAGATTACAGGCAAAGCATTTTGAAATTTTGCACATTAATCTGCATAAATCTTACCTGAATGGAACTTCAGGAAATAGTGAATATAAGCCATCTACTTCGCCATTTTAAACTTTTTCCTACACTTAAATATTCACCTATAATTTACATTGACTTATTAAATATACTCTAAGCATTTACCTTCTGATTTTCTAGCCTTATAATATTAACTATTTATGATCATCCTCCAGCTACCCATAAACCCCGTCGAGTACCCAACTAAAACCAAACTAAAATTGAATTCAGGCAACATCAAACGGGTTGACTTGTCTAAACTTCATTGGGAAGGTACTGGACTACTTGCGTTTGCATTACCCCCCAGAAACACACAAAAAAGAAACAGGCAAACTTTTAACTTTAAACTTTCGCATAGAAAAGTAAACAAAATCTTCGGTGTTCACTTTAACAACTCGCAGCCGTGAAAGGAAGTGTTGGGGAAAAGGTTGTTTTAAACATGTGCTCAAATGTGTAGCGAAGTTTTGTTTCGCGACGCTTGCAGCTCTGACGTGTTGCATGACGTGTGGCAAGCGATGGTCATGCACTTCCGGCTCAGTGGCACTGGCACAGACGGCTGCCGTGTGATTAAGTAACATGTGTAGCTGTCAGGAAAAACAGTGCCAGCAGCTCAGGTGTCCACTGGGACATGCTAATTGCAGGGCAGGCGGGGCAAGGAATTTGATTTGCTGCTTCGAGTGAGAATTGTCAATGGGCAGGAGTAGAAGCCAAAGCCAAGACAGCTGTGCAATTTGTTTAATTGAATTTACTTGCCTGCCAGGGCCAGCAGCTTCTCGTTAGTGGGGGCCGAGGCTAACAAGACAATTGGGAAGGGTCGCATCTTTATCCTAATAGCTGAAGGCCGCGAGTAATCATAATCAACATAATGATAACCATGATAATACCTCCCCAATAGCCCCGAGTCGTGTAACACCATTAGCGGAGCGAAGCAGAGCAGAGTCCCAGTGGAGCGCCTGTAAATGCAATTTAAATCTGCTTGCAGGATGGCAGGAGGCAAGAGGGGCAGCCAGCTGCCGAGTCGAGTCGAGTCTGAGGCGCAGCGAGCGCGCCACTTGGCTTAGTCTAATGAATGCAGCAGACTGTGGAACTGGCACAGCCCCACCTGGCACACAAAAGGCAGAGCCAGACTCTGGGCTGTACTCCCAGCTCTAGTGTTTGGGCAGGCACGCACTGACACCGATACACCAAATGGGGCCGGGCCAGAAAAGTGCGTGAGGCCATGCGGGGGAAAGCCTTTGTCTCTGAAAAGGAATCGCCCATGGTTATGGCCAGCAGAAGACCTGTAATTAAAAACTGTGCACTCCCTGCCACATGCCCAGCCCAGTCCCCTTTGGGCTCTAACCAGAATTATGTATGCTCACTTATCTGGCAGGAAGCTGCATCTCGGGCAAATTGTTATTGACCTGCCGCAAACACTTTCGAGTGTCAAATGTAATTTTAAAGCGGAAGCAGTCTCCAAACGGATGCACCCTGCACCTGCGGCCGAAGCCAAGTCAATGAATCACAATTTCAATCAGCCACCGCTCCCCAAAGAAGGAGTATAAAAGCCAGACTAAGGCCAGGCTAAGTCCAGCTGCATTTTTCATTACCTAGTTATCCTCTGTCCGCCTCTGACTTAAATCTGCTTACACTTTTTTGTTGCAAGACAGCAACTGCCACTTGGTTTTTGGTGCACGCTAAACAGCTTTACTTTTTGTCGGACCCGCCAAACCCGCCAACCCACAAGGGGGCCACCGCCAACCCACTTGCTCACCCTTGGCCCTTCCGCCTGGCATTTCCTTGTGGGTAAAGTTCGTCTGGCTTAAACGCAGCGTGTCGCCACGGCCATTCCCCACTAATTGGATAAGAATCAGATGTTGGCACTTAATAAAGCGCCCGCTCATTATGGCAATGGGGTCGGATGAGACCAGCAACGTGCGTGGCTGCGGCCAGTCTGTCTTAAACAACAACAAAAAATAGGGTCAGTGTCGTTAAAGAAGTTTGACTCTTTAAATGTGTTAAGAAGGTCAAGATTAATTCCGTGATGGGTTCAATAGCTTCAGTGGCGGCAGTTTAACTATATGTAATATCAGCTTAACAGCGAAGAAAATCTGTTTATTTTTGTTAGTGTTTCCAGTCGCATAGAACAGAGATTCACGTGGAACACTCCCGCACATATTCCGTTCAAGCATTAACGCAGTTTTAAATAAATTTTAAACACTTGTTTAGTTCATTCACATTTAATAAGCTGTTGTTATGGATTGGATCTGTAATTTCATCAGTAAAATTAATATCCAATATCCCGAAACCGCCGCGTAGGGCGGATATGAATCGGAAATGATCGCACATGAATGGTGATGATGAATCGCACATCAGCGGACATTATTCGGACAAGTTTTAAACATGAACGGACAAGTTTTGATCGGTGGTGTTCGGTCTTTGTGGTGTTCGGTTCTTAATTACGATTTCTAAGATCTTTGTGTGCTTTATAGTTGGTTGGCTTGCTT